TTTTACCTTTCAAATTGGTTTTATGAAATCTTTGTAAACATTTGAACAGTATTAGTTTATTTATTTTAATTAAATATCATAAAATATACTGAAAATACAAAAGATGTTAAAGAATTTACCAAAGTTACCCTGGCTATTAAAGTAACCCTCACTCGACGATGTCTTATCTTAACTTTAAGATGTTTTCATGTTCTTTTTTATTAACAGCTTTTAGTTTCTATTAAACGGTTAACGGTGTTTTAAACAATGAACTTTTAAACTTTTAATATTTTGAAAATATTATGAATATTTTAGGCTTATTTTAAAAAAAAATGTTGTTTGAGATAAATTTTCCCGTTTTTTAAATCAAATGCTGAAGTTTATATGAAATTATTTTTCGAAACGTCTAGTCTTTAATATACTATGTTATGACTGAAGTAAACTAAGTACAAGTAAATGTTCAGGCGGACCTGTACACGGCGCACCCTAAACTTGGTGAAGTTCGTTAATTCTCGGAACGAATATTCTAGGTGTTCGCTTTTGGTATTTTACAGAATAGGCGCTAAAATATTACGTTAATTCGCGCCATAATGGTAACGTCGAAAATAATAAAACAAAAACTTGTCGTAAATACATTTTAATAAAAATTTAACATTTTAGAAAAAAAATTAAATTTTACAAATTATCAACATACATACATTAAATATTAGATTAAATAGATCTTCTAAAGATATCTTCTCGTAGCTTCTCTTCTTTAGATATCTTTTGTGGCTAATCTTCTTTTAATCGATCTTCTACAGTTATCTTCTTGTTGCTTATCTTCTTTGCATATCTTTTTGTGGCTTATCTTCTTTTAGTTTTTGCAACGTATATTTTGTGTTGTACATACAAGTTCAATATAAATATTATGAAACATTTTCAATGTAAATATTATATTATAATATTTATTTTACATTAGGATTACATTAGGAGGATACCTATCATTAATATGTTTTAAGAATAAAGATAAATTTTTTTAGACCACTTTAAATCACCCTGCGATCCAAAATCATACTTTAACCTTCGTTTCATCCGACACCAAAACGACTCAACATGATTTGCTGTTGCTCCAGTGTCAGGATCAACAAACTTTATTGTATGGTTTACAGTGAAATGATTGTAACCTAAGTTATTTAAAATAGTATAAGAAGCCCACTGATCTGAGTGTATTATTGATCCAGGTGCAACCCATTGTTGAATTATTGAGAAATAATTCAACAATGGGTTTTTTTTATGTACAACACTAATGTCTGAGCTGCTCGATCCTCTACCCTTCTTAAGTATCCTTTCTTACTAGTTACATCAAATGCCCCCAAAATCATCTACTACCTCATAAGCAGCGGTTACAGGAACCTCCAGGATCCATAAAAACATAGATTGAAGTATCAGACTTACACTTAAAGATGTAGAGCTTTCAAAAATTATTAAAGGCATTAGCCTTTTTTGTTGCAAAAAATCAACCAATTTTTCTTCTTTGATACTTTCAATGAACTCAGCTAAAGGTGTCATCTTACTTATTTAAAAGGCGGTAAAAAATTTGGCTATTGAAGCGCGAATTAAAACTTTTGTGCTAAATTTTCATTCGTTAATATTAGCCAATCATTAAACGGCAAAATTATTGTTTCGAACTTTACCGAGTTCGTTTACGAACTTCACCGAGTTTAGGGTGCGCCGAGTACAGGTCCGCCAATGTTCAAATTTTAGTAATCATAGTATATCAGATTTTAAAAATTATTCATCATTTGATACGTACGACAAAAGTAATGCTAGTATACAAATACTGTCAGCGATCAATATTTATATATTTATGCATTTATGTAAAATAAACACTTGGCCAAAAGACACTTTGTCTCTTAGCAAAACTTGTTTAATGTTTATCATATTATATCAATAAATAAAAATAAATATATATCAACAAAGACATATATATAAAGACTCTCTCTCTCTCTCTCTCTCTCTCTCTCTCTCTCTCTCTCTCTCTATATATATATATATATATATATATATATATATATATATATATATATATATGTATATATATATATATATATATATATATATATAGTACTTAAAAATGCTGGAATTAAAGCATTTCATAAAAAAAATACACCTAAGAGAAGCTTAAGTTGTAATATTAAAGGAATTCGACGCGCAAAGAAGTTGGTTAAAATAATGGTAGATAAAAATATGTGCATAATTGAAGACGACAAAATGTATTGCAAGACGGATTTTTCACAACTTCCTGGTCAACAGATTTACTATGAAAACAAAGATAAACCTGTCGATGATTAATTAAAATATATTCGACGAGAAAAATTTGCATCCAACTTCCTTGTGTGGTAAGCAATTTGTAGCTGTGGTATGCAGTCCTCTTGTTTTGTCACTAAAAAGACCATGACTGCCAATCTCTACATCAAAGAATGCCTGCAAAAAAGACTTTTGCCTTTTATAAAAAAACACAAATACCGATGTCTCTTTTGGCCCAATCTTTCTGCCTTTCACTATTCTAAAAAAGTTTTACAGTGGTGCAAAGATAATAATGTGAAAATTGTTCCTAAAGATGCGAATCCTTCAAATCGTCCTGAAGAGCGCAAAATTGAAGATTTTTGGGCAATAGTTAAAGGAATTCTTCGTAAGACAGGTGGACTAACAAATAATAATATGGACTTATAAAAAAAGTGGATTAATGCCACCAATATGGTGAAAAAAGAAAAAATCTGTAAAATGATGGCATCAACCCGCTATAAAGTTCGATTTCTTGCCAAGCAACCCATCAAGTCCCTGAAAATTTAGTTGAAACTCTAATTTATGTAAACACATTTAATAATAAAAAAATTGAACTAAAAAGGATTTATGGTTTTAGAGAAATCTCAATTTAAAGTTGACCGGATTTTTCCGAGTCCACCCGATATTTTACAATATTTTAACTGGCAACTTTGAAGCACTTCCAATTTCACCTGTAAGCTATGCAAATGTGAAAACACAAGGCCATAATACACATTGTTTCCTTTAAAGTATTCGATGTTGTAGCAACAGGTTTCATGACCAAGGCATATTCTTGTAGGTATTTTAATTCTTGTTTTTTAAAATTTGGCGCATTCAAAGCATTACATATATCATTAAGTTTGTCACATAGTTCTAGTAATCGCTTGATAGCATTGTCATGAGATTTCCAACGTTTTGTCACGGGGTAGAGAATTGTTTTGTTTGTAATATTTGACACAGCATTTGATGCTTTACTAATTCGTCGAGTTTTATTCTATATTGAGATGCATTTTGCCAGTCCTGCCCTGTAGATACGCCTAAACGTACTGTCTGTATCACATGTCTTCTTAGCATCGTTCATTGCCAATATATTTAGTGAATGGCTGCTACACATTTTATGAACACAACAAATTTTTCAGTTGTGCTGTCAGTGTTCACATTGGAATTGGTCGCTGTTAATGGTTCACAGGCAGCTAGTACGGCTTTTTTAAATATTTCTCTGCAGATAGCTTGTTTATTTTTGTTAGCATACACTGTAACATGAGCAGTGGCTACAAAACTGCTGCAACAATCTTGTATGAATTACTCACATCAAATCTCAGCTCCTTTTCAAAATAAATTTTCATGCTTGCTAACAATGCTGCAAGCAAATAGTTAACCATATTTTAACTGGAAACTTTGAAACAATTCCAATATCACCTGTAATTTATGCAAATGTGAAAACACAAGGCCATAATACACATTGTTTCCATTAAAGTATCCGATGTTGTAGCAACAGGTTTCATGACCAAGGCATATTCTTATATACAACAAAACCTTTAGTTTTGCTGTCAGTGTTCACATTGAAATTCATCATCATCATCATCATCATCATCATCATCATCATCATCATCATCATCATCATCATCATCATCATCATTATCATCATCATTATCATCATCATCATCATCATCATCATCATCATCATCATCATCATCATCATCATCATCATCATCTTCATCATCATCATCATCGTCATCATCATTATCATCATCATTATCATCATCATCATCATCATCATCATCATCATCATAATCATCATGTTCTGGTGAAATTAAAGGAATATCTCCAATATTAATTACATCAATTTCATCCTCACTAACTTTATCCTCTTCCATGTCCTCTTGCTTTTAAACTTCTAAGTAGTAGGGCCTTCATCAGCCGTTTTTCCTACTCCAGCCTTTCCTAGCTTACGTTTTCTCTGATCATCTGACTTATGTGGCTAGCAGCCTTCACATTACGTACGCATAATAAGCATAATGCTGATATTTTGTCATATGGCTACGATTTTGAAGAAAGTAACATCTATAAGGGCTGGTAAAATTTAATTATTTTTATTAGTCATTTCGTTTTCGCAGCTCACAGCAGCCATCTTCAAATTAAAATTGTTGATTCCCGCAAACATTATAACTACCCTATTGGAACCAAGGTAGATAAACCATGTTATATAAATAGCATAAGAAATAATTCAAAACAAATAGTGGCAGAGTGGCACTATGACATAAAATTTGGTTAAGTTGTTCGTGTGCAGTGTTGTGAATGTTTTAAGCGGTATTTAAATTACAGGTATTTTTAATTAGTGCAAAATGCAAAATATTAATCAAAAGTATTTTAAGTACAAATACTATATACTTTCAACAAAAGTATTTAAAATAAAAATACAAATACAAAGAAAGTATTTAAAATAGTACTTTGAATACTCCCAGCACTGTATATATTTATATATATATATATATATATATATATATATATATATATATATATATATATATATATATATATATATATATATATATATATATATATACATATATATATATATATATATATATATATATATATATATATATATATATATATATATATATATATATATATATATATATATATATATATATATATATATATTCGCAATATTACAGAACAATACTGTCTTTTTAATATTTGTTTTATTTTAGAGTATATAGTTGACAATAATATTACTCCATTAGTAAAGGGGAAATTAGTTGCTGAGATTCCAGTCCTAGAAAAAGAATTTTTTGTCTCGCTTGATTTTAATCCTCATAAGTTTAATTCTGGTTTGCATAACATAATTCATTTTACTATTGGTTCCGATCGATCTAGTTATGGTGATATAACACCAGGTATTTGGTCAAATGCACTAGGTAATGGCGTACTTGACATAGCATCTTCAATTAATGGATATTTAGATGTACAGACTTTTTGGACAAATGCAGTTACAGTTAATCAGTGGTCAAATATTGTAATAAATCAAGTTTACAATGGGTCAATTTATGTATACAGAATCATTATAAATGAAGAAGTTGTATTTTGTACAATAAACAATCAAGCTAATAGCTTTGTTAATGTCAAAGTGTATGCCTCAAATCCATGGGCAGAAGCTCAAAATGGTTCAATAAAAAATTTGTTTGTTGTTAATGGGAATTCAAGTGAGTTTCTTATTAATTTTTTATACAAAGATTTTAGAGCCCAAATAAAAAAAATGTTATATTGATATTTAACTAAAAATAAAAAAATAAAAACTACTTCTGCTGCTACTGCTCCTACGGCTACTACTTCTATTACTGCTATTACACCAAAACTAAAACTATTTCTACTGTTACTACAACTGCTGTTACTTTTTCTAGTACTACTGTTTCTACTATTCCTAGAACTACTACTGCTGATGTTACTTCTTCTAGTACTTCTGTTTCTACTACTCCTAAAACTACTTCTACTACTACTACTACTACTACTACTACTACTACTACTTCTACTACTACTACTACTACTACTACTACTACTACTACTACTACTACTACTACTACTACTACTACTACTACCAAAACTTTATTACTTTTATTTATAACTTATTATTTTGCTTTTTACTTTTTTTTATTTTTAAATGTTAGCCAAAGAAATGAAGCCTATTGTTATACTTTCGAAAGGTATTGCTATCTTTTTTAGGTGGTATAGAGGTATTTTTTAATTGTAACTTATAAAACTGCTTTATTAAAATTTTAACTGAAAACAAAATTAAAATTATATTACCCAGTTGACATGCATTGTCCAGAGGAGTTTGTTTGGCGTCTCATAAATTTCTAAATGTTTGCATGACGTCCAACGAATATCCCCTTGCGGGCATGCATTGCACTGTGCCTCAAAAAACCTATAAAGTGGCATAAAGTACATTTAACAAAAAGTATTTTTAGCTTAAAAGTTCTTAAATCTATTTTCTTAAATCTATTTTTTAAAACATTAGGGCTATTGTTTTAATAAAAATTTTATTTTTAAAAATTATGTATTTTGCTATTAAATAACTTTTTTTTACCGGCATTAAATGCTATTTTTAAATTAGAAGCGAGTGTTACGGATAATTTGTCATGTTCTTAGCATAAACTTTTAGACCAATCAAAAGCCTTTAAAAAGATAAGAATAATTTTGATCATGTCATTTTATCTCTTAAAATATGAAAATTATTTTGAATTTTAATTGTTTTTCTTTGTTAGTTTTATTTCGATTATTTTCACTTTAAAAAAAAAAGTAAAGAAAGATTAAAAAACGTCTTTAAAGTAAGACGTTTTTTAATCTTTTATTTTGCTTATTCACAACCCTCATTAAAATTTTTGCAAAATTGAATACTCTTTATTTTAAAAACAGAAGAAAACCCTTAGACACCAACCTCCCTGCATAACCCTTAGACACTGCCTCCCTGTATAACCCTTAGACACCAAATTCCCTGCATAAAAATAAAAAAAATGCCTATGTTTTCTAAAACATCTTTTTCAACAACAAAAAAGATGCACCCTCCTTTATATTCTAGTAAAATGCCGGTTAGAGTTGTAAGATTTAATTTTTAGTTTCAAAAAGAAATTCCTGGACCCATAAAAACCCCTAAAAAACATGTTAAATGTAACAATTTTTTTTACAAATAAACAATTTTGACCACTTTTTAAGGTTTTTAAGGCGCTGTGTTATGCATGCCCGCTCGCTAAAAATAGTCAAATAGTTTTGTAAAACAAATATAATATCAAAGATTATATCTTGCAATCAATATATTTGAGTTTTCAACTGTTGTATATTATTACCTAGAAGCATGTCTGCAAGATCAGGGAAACCAGAAAAAAGTCGGGGAGTTTAGATATCTGCACAAAATTAGGGAGTAATAAAGTTTATTGGGTTAATTTTTTCAAAAATTAGGAAAAAGTGCATGAGAATATGAATTTTATTCCTTTTTTTTGAAAATAATATGTCCTGCTTTAATATCTTTTGAAATTTAAAACTTTTTTTTAGACTTTTTTTATAAGTTGTAAACAAAACTTTTACAACTTTTTTTAGAATTTTTTTAAAGTTGTAAAGTGTACTTTTATATTGTTTTCTAACACCCTTTGCGTTAGCGTAAATATATGTTTTTTGATTAAAAAAAAAATGGTCAAAATGTAAGTTAGACATACTCCATTTTCTTTTCCTATAAAGAAAACATTTTTTAAACAAATTTTTGTTTGTTGTTTCTGTAATATCTAGAATTTTAGGCATATTGTTAACTGCAAAACAAAAGTATTTTTTATTAATGTCAACCAGAAGTGATTTCGTGTTATAAAGCTGGTTAACGAGGTAAAACTCCTTTGATAGTTGTCCAATAGTGCAGACTCCAAAGTCTTTTTACGTTTTCTGTATTTATCATTAATCTTTTTAACTGATGACTAGTTATCAATTAGTTTACATCAAATGTAAGTAGTGATTTTGCCGGTTATCCGGTTTTGCGGTTAACCGGATTTTGTTCGGATATCAAATATCTATTTTCGAATAATAAAAACCGACTTAAAAATTTTACTAAATTTTATAGAAAGTAACGTCGTAATTATGAAGATTATTGTTTGACAAATGTTAATTTATCAAAGATTATAATATATTTCTTTTATTAATTTAGATGTTAATTTAATACGTTTTGTTTGATAATATATTCTTAAAACAATTTACAATAGAAATCTCAAAGATTTATTTATTACTTTTACAACTCAAGCAATACATTTTTAAGAAAGTTTCTTCGGGATATTATGGAGCTCTAATTCGCTTATTCAGCGTATTTTTTGAACCAATAGAATTTGTTTATTCGTAGATTTGGCGGTATTTTAGTGTTAGCAAATATTCTTTATATTATCTTTACGCAACAAGTTGTTTTGATAACATTCAAGTTTATCTTTAAGTTTCCATCTATGTCCGCATAACAATAAGTTTTTAAAATACGCGCTAAAAAAATTTACTACATAACATCTCATTTTTCCAAATCAAATGTTTTTATATGAGAGAATGATATTAAAACATCCGCTGATATTAAAACATTTAAACTATACTTGTACATTATTCCTACCTTTTTTAATTATATAATTAAAAAGGTATATTATATTATAATATAAAATATATATATATATATATATATATATCTTTTTCCATGTTTTGTTATAAATATTTAATATAGGACTGTATTCACTAACTGTCTTGAAAATGTACACTTTAACATTAATTTTTAAAGAATTTGTTTAAAACGCTACATTCGTTGAAATTTAGAAGATCCTGTATTCAAAAAGCGTCACTAATTTACCAAATAGTCGGTTAACCGCAAATTGATGAGAACTGAAATCCGGTTTTTGAAACGGATAATCGACGAAATCACTAAATGTAAGACCTATATTTCTCTGACTAACCCCTTTTCAATGGTTGAGACGCCTCGATAATTTAACCTTCTTTTGTCAAGTCTAGGATGAAGGACCCAGAGGTCCGAGGTTCGACGCCAGCTCTAGCCCAACAACCGACATTGGTACGGAAGGAGGCGTGAACTTCCTGTTAAATGCTCTCCCGCGGTGCTCTATGATAGGACCGTAAGGACTTCTGGGAGCACCTAAATACATACAAAAAAAAAAAAAAAAAAAAGGACAACATAAGTGCTTTCTCTTAAAAAAAGATAAAAAAGTTCCAACTCTTTTAAAGTACATTGTACTTCATGTAATTTCGAAATGATTTACAATTTTTTCGAAATAATTTACAATTTGCCATTTTTTTAAATAAATAATATTTATCATTTTTTGTAAAGTTAGTTTAGATCCTACATTTGTAATCTCTATTGTATTCTGAAGTCATTAATGTTGCATGCTATGCTGTCTAGCAACACGTCATCAAGTACGTACAATTGTACAAGTAAGTACAATTTTAAAATTGTCAATTTTCTTGATGTAACATTGAACCTGATTGACAGTTCTTATCAACCGTATTGTAAATCTAATAACCAACTTATGTATGTTCATTCAGAGTCAAACCATCCACCTAATATAATAAAAGAAATCCCTCGCACTATTGAGTTAAGATTATCGAATATGGCAGTAAATGAAACTGTGTTCAATAACTCAATTATTCCGTATGAAGAGGCTTTACGTAAATCAGGATACAATTCAAAACTCACCTACCAACCGCAAATAAACAAAAATCAAAAAAGACATCGCAAACGTAAAATTATATGGTACAACCCCCCGTTTAGCAAAAATGTTGAAACTAAAATTGGACATCGCTTTTTAGCTTTAGTTGACCAACACTTTTCAGTAGGACACAGGCTTCATAAAATTTTTAATCGAAACTTTGTTAAAGTAAGCTATAGTTGCATGCCTAATACCAAGTCTTTATTAAATACACATAATAACAAAATTTTACATAGCGATAAAAATAAAACATCAAAAAAATGTAACTGCATAGACAAAAATATTTGTCCGTTAAATAACCAATGCCTTTTTAGCAATATCGTATACCAAGCCACTGTAAGTTCTGGTGATCCTCAATGCAAAGATAAAGTTTATTTCGGTATAAGTGAAACCACATTTAAATTAAGATATGCTAACCATCTTAAATCTTTCAATGCACCCAAATATAAAAATGACACTGAACTTTCCAAAGAAATATGGGAGCTAAAATCGAAACATATAAATCCTGTGATTACAAGGAAGATAATAGCACAATGTAAGCCCTACAATCAAGCATCAAAAGTTTGTAATCTTTGTCTCCGCGAGAAGTTTCACATATTATCATATAAAGGAGAAAACTTACTTAATAAAAGATATAAAATAATATCAAAGTGCCGGCATTCAAAAATTTTTTATTATCCTTATTTGATACCGGGGACTAAAACCTTTGACGTCTTTTTGTTTTGTTTTGTTTTGTTTGATAATGTCAGAACTCGTTCCACCGTAATTTTAATTTGTAATTTTTAAACGGTTTTTAAGTGACGAAATACACAATGGCTAATGATTGCTGAAAGGCATGAAACTCAACTAGTCAAAAAAGTCGGTTGCGGATTTCACCGCCCCCCTCCCACGGAAGGACTAGGGGGATGAAAGTGAAATACTAACGGCGGTCAAAAAAAGGCATCTACCCTATTTCTTTAATAAACAAGTTATTTACAAAGCCTTCAAAATAGGCGGCTCAAATGATGTCGCATATTTTAAAAATAGAGACAACAAACTAAGTTAAAACACACTATATAATAGCTACCATATTACCAAATTACAAATTTAATACACAGTAAGATTAACTTATAATAAAATATTAAAACATTTTTTCCTAGGTATGAAGGTTTTTAATTTAAAAAGTACCAAGTGAAAAGTACTCTCTGCTTTTCACAAGTTATAATACGATCAAATAATGCTTTGCTCTTGAAGATATAGCTAAAGATATAGCAATAATATTATAAAGTTATATACATATATTATTAAAACTAGCAAGGATCCATTAAATGTACAAAATAAAATATTGAGTGTGGTATTAAAATATTTTGTGGACATTATTATTGCGTTCCATAAATAATACATTTGTATGAAGTATAACAAATCATTATTTAAATAGGCAAGGTTTTTATAGCCAGGTGTCATGCAAATAGACCAACAACTTTGTAAAAGAAAATCAC